CAGGATCTCTGCATTATTATTTTCCTCTTTCAGTGGGAATTTTTATCTCTTCCAGTAATTAATCCAAAAATGCACAGGCAGACTCCACTGCACTCACACTATTCCATGATGAGTGTTCTGTGCCCAGATGTATCAGCATCACTTATGGTGAGGTAGACACCCAAAAAGGAATTATCAGAGAGGATACTGGAAAAGATCAGCTCTATCAGCCAATTCATGTCAAATAAAAAACTTCAGCTTTAGCTAATAAACTGACACCAATGGCCCCAAATCTTGAAAAGGGAGTTCCTACTTGCTAGCAAGTGTCACTTCTTTTTCAATTTCAAATTATATTCTTATCCTGAAAAAAAACACTTTCCTGTAATATCTCAAGCACCACCTCATGGCACATGAAAGTTGCTCCTGTGGCTAAAACTCAGGCTTTCGAGTCCAGCCTTTGCTGTGTGCGAGTTCATCCCAGAAAAGACACATTTTGATTTGCTGCTTGCGTCTTTTAATGAAGGTCAAAGAAACATATGGACTCAGAAAACAGAGTTATAAAAACTTTAGGGAAAATCTAGATGTATTTGAGCAATTTGCTGAATTTTGTAATATTCCTAATTAAAAACAAATAAAATCAACCCTAATTTTCCAGTATGACGCACGCTGAATTTTATGTTTAAACTCAGCCACAATTTAAAGCAGCCAACAGCCTCAGAAGAAGGGAGGAACCAACGTTTAAAAAAATAACCAGGATTTTCTTAGATCGTCATGTTGACTCTAGGTACAAGTCATGCTGACAGATTATTCATGAGCAAGCTCCCCAAGAGCAAAATCCAAGAAATGCCCCAAACTTCACCAGAAGATGTGCTGTGACTTCCATAAAATCTGAATCAGGCTGTTAGATCTGAACACGCTTCTCTTTCACAAGCGAGAAATTACCTAATCGTTCTATCTGGAAACAACCACTCAACAAGAATAAAGGTGTAAAGCAGAAGCCAATAACCATCTCTCTCACATTACCATTATTTATCTTTTCTGTGCTTACTGAAGGACTCTTATAAACCCCAAAGTTACAGAATGGGAATTCTGTTCATCAGAACAAAGAACTCAACTTCCAAGAAAGAAAAAAAAAAAAACCATCTCTAGCACCCTATTCCCTTTCCCTCAATATTAAGAGAAATCAAAATGGCACATAACATTATTTCTGCATGAAACCATTGAATTTTGAGGCGGCCCAATCAGCAGATTCCCTGTAAAGCAGACACCAAGCAGGTTTGCAAGCCAAGGTCGCACAGAGAAGTGCCAGAACAGAAAGCAATTAAGGTCCCGTTCTTCCCCTCCCTACGCAATGCACCGAAAATGAAATCAACATCCAAACTAATTAGTTTCCAGCAGAATATCAGTTTACTTGCTAACAGGAGGGTGGTTACTGCTCTTACCAAAAACTTCTAAACATACCATACAAAATCTTGCTTAAGCCACAGGACCAAGCCAGGCACATCCCAATGTTACCATATACGGTCACCAACGCGAATATGATGGCAACTTGACAGATTTGGAACAAATATTGCGTTGTCTGTCACTGAGATAACACAGGCAGGAAAATATCAGATTGTATTACCTGTGTCCAGCAGGAGGTGTGGCGTGGCAGGAGCTACATTGCTGCAGGACATAGTCACTAAAGGTTAGTGGCCCAAGATGGCATTAACCCCCGCAGAGGATGGCCAGGGCAGGCCACTGAAGACTTTTATGCCCACTATGGGACTGCTTAGAGAGAGCAGGAATGGAGTAACACGAGGGATGAGCCGCTGGACCTGTTATCCCAGGTTCAGAGCAGACATTATCCGTCGCGGCTGGGAACCAGGCTGAAGCTGCTGCCCCACGCCTTGGCTGTGAGCTGGAAGGCACAGTCTGTCCTAGAAAACCACAGCACACAGGTTTTGTGCTCCAAGAATGGGTTTTGAGAACACAGGCTTTCTAGTCTTCAGCCGCAAGGGAAAGAAGGGGCTTGGATATCTATCAAAATAGCTCCCAAGGAAGACTTTTTTGGTACAGGCTCCCTTCAGGAGATCCTTAGCCTGAAACAAGATTGGCCACCGAGAGCTATTCCTAGACTAAGTTTTTTGGAAGGGTTTTTCCAGTGCATTTGTAGGTGTACACAAGCCCTCAGTCAAAGCCTTTCAGTGTCAACCCCAAAAGCATTGGTTCAAACCCAACCAGAGTTACCTCATCCCCCATCCCTTCAAACACAGACAGTTCTACCACCCGCACCTCTAAAATCAGACCTGATCTCCGTTTTACCTTTCAAAGGTATTGCTTCTTCCTTAAGAGTATATATTGGTTTGCTAAGATATTCCCTTTTTTACAGAGTTACATCTCAGTGATGAGATACACTGGTGGGACAGAGCCAGCAGGCACAGATCTGACTCTGGAAAAATTCCCCTTTTTGCTGGGAGGCGGAAAAAACCAAACCTGTCGCATAAACCCAATCAGTCATTCCTGCAAGGGCCCTTTGCCTTAAAAGGTGTCACCTAAATAAAGATGTAAAAATAATACAACGTAACATTTAACGCAAGATTGCAGCTGAGAATTCAACTGTCAGGAAATATCAAACGTGCTGGAGCGCGTGGGCAACTTAACTCTGCCCCCTTGTGCAGATGCACCACGGCACAGCCCTTCCCCGAGCACGGGCACAGCATTCAGCCGCCTCCAAATGAACACCCTAATTACAGCATCACCTACTTTTGCCTAAAATGAGTAGAAAAGAAGGACCATCACCTTCCCAGAGAGTCTCCTCAGCCACCTTCCTCACTTGATGGCCAGCCAGCAAGCACCTATTAAACTTCTGGTGCCTCGGATCAGGAGGTGCTGGCACACTTTGGGCCACACACGTCTCATCTGCAATCAGGACACAGATATTAAATGCTGTTTGACCAAAACAAAGAGCCCTTTTTCCTCCAGAGAAGAGCCTCACAACCTCAGGCTGAGATTTGGCTGAAGGACTGCCTATAAAACCTGAGCGACTGTAGCAGGTAATGTTTACACATCTCCAGTGGCCAAAGCCCTCATATGAGGCGTTCAGAAAAACTCTGCAGGTACATGAAAAGCCTGGCACATTTTCCCAAGAACCTGAAATTATCCCAGTGTAAACACCTAACAACTGGAGATACTTGTCAGCACAAAGTTTCAAAGTTCTGGGAAGTGTCTCATCTCTACTCAGAAGTTTGATCTTCCATCTACCTCCTTTGCTATCAAAAATGTTCTCCTCCTTAAGGAAGTCTAAAGCAGGACTTAAATGTCAGAATTTTGTCTCTGTTTTCACAGCAATGACTCCTTTTTCTTCCCTACTTCCCCTCTCTAAAATCAGCCCATGAATGAATGACATTTTTCATGGGTTTGGCCTTGGCTTTTAACCTCTATTTCTAGATAATTTTAAATAATCAGAACCATCTCTCCATACACTTATAGGATGAGTTTTTCCGGCTCTAAAAAGTGTAAATAACCCAATTACCAATATGATCCTATCAAAGTTCTATTAAAAAGACCTTTCCACAGGAAAAATAATGATGCCCTGAAACTACTGCTGTTAATTTTCTGTCACTTCTTCACATGAGAACAGCCCACAGCGCTTCATTTTCCAGGGGCAATGAATTTACGAGCAAGACAATTGCAAACCAAATTTAAACAGGGTCAGCCAGTAAAGCAGCCGATACTCAGCTCACATCAGAGACAAGAATCTTTTTGTCTTCTCCTGCCCACTTCAGATCTTTTCCGGAACTCCACCAACTTCTCAGGTCCATTGCAATAAAATACATCCATGAAGTCATCTTAATTCATACACTGCTGCCCATCGCCCACAGCTTAAACTGAGTCCCCATTGTAAGCCTTGCCTGGAATTCAGACTTGCAGGAATTACAGCCTATATACTGTTTTCTTTTTCATTCAGCTTCCAGCCAAATCATTTTATAGTGCTTTTGCCTCCATAAAATATTTGCTTGAGAGCCAATGCCAAGAAGAAAAAAAACGCAGTGCGCTAAACCAAACTTGGGTTTTCAGAGTAATGCTCCCCTTCTCCTTTCCCACACTCGCCCCCCAAGATTTATTTTTGGCAAGTTACAGCCCAAGTGAAGGGCAAGTTTAAACCTTTTAATTCACGAGTCCATCACAATGGGTGACTTGAAGGTCTTGCAACAATTCACAAAATTCTGAGACCACTGGGAATTGCAGCTGGAGCAATCTGCATCCTAAAGTTGTACCCCCATTCTCCTGGAACAATTCAGCCCCTACTTTGTGACCAGGGGAGCTGAGAGCCTGGATTTGCATTCAGGCTTTCTAAGGACAGCACCCACTGAGGTACAACACAGGCAAAAGCGCAGGAAGCGCCGCTGCTCCTCACACTCTGATCCCAGAGCTTTGCTAAAAGCACCTTGACGTAAAGAAACTTCTTTTTTCCTACCTCCATCATTCCCAGGTCAACGTATTTCAAGTTTGCCTCTGGAAGTGTAACCTGTTTATTGAAATCCGATCAACTGCTGGAGCCTCAGCACTAAAATACGCTCTCGCTGTTGGGAACTGTCATTTGTCTGTCACCAGGGAAGTTAATGGATGTGTTTGTTTAGTTTGTAAGTGGGGAGACACGGGGCAGAGGCTGGAGCGATTACAGGAGGGGAGAGGTATTTCTGATCCACAGAGGAATGCAGTAGCTTTTCTTTAAAATTGTCTGTGTACTCTTACACAGACACAAGAAAAGTTCACCTGTGCCTAACAGACCTCAGCAAAGCCACAGTGACCGCGCTGCATCCCGAACGACGGCCCAAAACCATGCAGGTAAGGAGGCACCACACATGGGCACGAACCTGCTCCTCTGTGCAAACAGAAAATGTGCAGGGGACGAGTCCCTGCGGACAGCAGCTCCCCTGGGGGGTCCCCTCCGGGGGTACCGCGGGTGTTTGGGGAGCCCACAGAGCAGAGGGAAGGGGAGAGTCACAGGCTGATCACACCGAGCGCCGTCCCCTTACCTCTCGCCGAGTCCGAAAATGCAATTATCCCTGCCAGAAGGAGCGCCAGCTGCAATTCCATTTTGAAAAGCAGATCCCGCCGTATCGCACAGGGTACTGTCCTCTCAAACCTGGAGTCAGGAAAAAGGAGAGCAAAGTAGTTACTGGGGGGGAAAAACTGAATGACTCTCAACTTTGCGGAGTTTTAAATCCTATTGAGAAGGCTGACAAGAAGAAACAGCAAATGAAAGAGCAACATACTTGTAATTCATTCCTTGGTGCTCAGTAAGTAAAACTTTGCCCTCCTCTCTGCTTTAGTCTGATATAAATCAAGAACCCACTGAGGCCAGTAAGCTCCTCTAAGTTTACAGTTAACGCATAATTCTTTGGTATCCTGTACAGAACCAGTCTGGAAGGCAAACAAAACGCTAGCAAGTGGCCATAAAACAAGATTTCAGGTTAACAATTTGCGGAGGAACTTGGTGGAAGGGGGGAGGAGGAATGTTACCTCTCCCATCAGCAGCCCAGGAAACTTTGTGTTGCTGCTGCAGTGCCCCTCAGCCAGGCTCCGCTCTGGGTACGCGCCTTCCTCCACTCCGAGCCTTCTCTGCACAGCACTGATTCCTCCTTTCCTCTTCTTCCCCCCCTCGCCACGCTCCCCCCACCGCCAGCCCCACTTGTTTCCGTGGGCTCCAGAGGTGCGTCCCAAAGCGCAACCGCACTTAATTACCCAGATTCTTGAAGATGCCTTCGCTGTGATACGCACACCCGGGGAAGATCAGGTTTACATTAATTACACCCTGTTCTCCTCCTAAAACTCTCACTCTCTAAACACTGTCTGGATTCCTCACCCTTGTAAACTCCCCGGTTTAAACACCCCGTGCCCCCAGGACACACAACAACCCGCGTACAGCATCCAGCACAGCAAGCGCGGCCGCTCGGTTCGCGGCG